CCTCCTCCTCCTGTGCCTCCTCATTCTCCTCCTCCTCCTCCTCCTGGCCCCCTCGTCCTCATCCTCATCCTCGTTCTCGTCCTCGCCCTCGTCCTCGTCCTCTCTCTCGTCCACGTCGTCGTCGGTGTCGTCGTCCTCGTCCTCGTCCTCGTCCTCGTCGTCGTCGCTGCCGCCGCCGCCGTCGTCGTCGTCGGTGACGTCGTTTTCGTCCTCGTACTCTTTTCCGTCATCGGATCCTTCCCCGTCCTCGTGCTCGTCCTCGTCGTCACCGCCATCGTCGTCGCCATCTTTATCCTCTTCCTCGTCCTTGTCCTTGTCCCAATCCAAGTCCCCGTCCCCGTCGTGGTCCCGTCCCTGTCCATATCCTCCTCCTCATCCTCCTCCATCGTCACCATCATCATCATCATCAGCATCATCATCATTATCATCATTATCATCATCATCATCAGCAGCATCAGCATCATCATCAGCAGAATCATCATCATCATCATCAGCATCATCATCATCATCATCATCATCATCATTATCATCAGCAGCAGCAGCATCATCATCGTCTTCATCATCATCAGCATCATCAGCATCATCTGCAGTATCATCATCCGCATCAGCATCAGCATCAGAATCATCGTCATCATCCGCATCAGCATCAGCATCATCGTCATCACCATCATCAGCAGCAGCAGCATCAACATTATCACCATCATCATCGTCATCATCATCATCATCATCCTCATCCTCACCCTCAGCATCATCAGCATCATCAGCATCATCAGCATCATCATCAGCATCATCATCACCAGCATCAGCATCATCAGCAGCATCATCAGCATCATCATCATCTGCAGCATCAGCGTCCGCATCAGCATCATCAGCAGCAGCAGAATCGCCTCAATCACTAATACCATCACCATCACCATCACCGTCATCATCATCATCACCACCACCATCATCATCAGCAGGGCCTCTTCCGACCCACGTCGCCAAGAGAGATGATGTATTTGTGAGGAGCAGCGCACGGCGGCGAACTCGCGACAACAAGGCGAGCCACTGGACAGATGAACGAGCCTCGCATCAGGCCATTAAAGCCACACTCAAGCTTGTGGGGGAAGAAAAAGGGAGGGAGGGAGAGCTTGAGCACAAGTGGCAGTGGCCATACGGCGATGCTCAACTACAGTGCCTGCTTCCCGTACTGAATACACCCAGCAGGGCCTCTTCCGACCCACGTCGCCAAGAGAGATGATGTATTTGTGAGGAGCAGCGCACGGCGGCGAACTCGCGACAACAAGGCGAGCCACTGGACAGATGAACGAGCCTCGCATCCGCAACCCGAACGCGAACTTGGCCTGGGGCCGAAAAAACAATCAGGGCTACCCTCCCATTCTGTCAGAGAGAGCGAGGGAGCGCTTGCTTTCACACGTGCGCACGAGTATGGCAGCGGCAGCTTTGGCAAAGGCAGCGGGGTAGGCGGCGGCAATGGCTGTCCAATGCTTCCCGCCTGGCGCCCGCCCACTGAGCTCGAGGTGGGGCCGGAGAGTCCTGCTGCAAATGCCTCGGGGGCCGCCGCATTTTTTCGACAGCTCCCACAATTCTCCGATGGCCCAGGCTTGCACTCGAGTAGCTTTCCTCCAGGGCGCGCCGAATTGGCACATGTGACATATTACAGAAGTGCTGCTTTGTAAACTGAGGAGCTTCTGAAAGTGAGGCGAGGACCACATCAAGCTAGTCTGGGGATTCTCAATCATGACGCCTACATTGTGTCTGAGGCATGCACGGATCACGTGAAGGGAAAAGTGGAATGACTTATTTCCTATATCGAGCTTGCTAAAAAGATCAGGCGAAAGGTCAGGCCGCCCGTCAGGGTACTCAGCAGTTCGCAGCGGGACCCGAAGCGCACGGGTCCAGGTGCTGCAGGGCGCACCGAGCCAGATCCCGGCGATGGCCCCGCTTGCGATCCAGCCCAGGATCCTGTTGAGGAAGGTCGGGGTGAGATGGTTCTCAAGAGGTGAGCCGTTGATGTCCAGGCTGAGCGCGGCATAGCCCATGGCCTGCGCGCTGGCCGCGACGCGGCCACAGCCCCCGAAGAGCTCGAGGAACAGCAGCGACCGCAAGCGCACTGCCCGGCCCAGGCTCGCAGCGAACTTCTTGCCGAGGTGGGCGCCCACGTCCCCGCCGTGGACCAGGTGAGTCACGCTGGCCGCCGCTTTCGCCCGCGGCCGGCGGCGGACGTGGCCCCGCCGCTCTGGCCCGCAAGCAACAGGCTCCTCACGCTCGCCGGGACCTGGTCGAAAAGCGGGCCAGTCAGCCCGTGCTCGACGAGTCCCGTGAAGTGAGTCATCACAAAGTTCCCGAAGCCGAAGATGTCGCTGTGGACCTCCTGCAGCTCCCGCAGCAGGCGCGTGGCCTTGGTGTATCGGCGCAGGCTTGACGCAGACACCCACCGGCCTCGCGCCCGCACCTGCTCCAGGCTTCGGCGGCCGGCCAGAAGGTCGTCTGACGCCCCGCCGTGCCGGAGCGAGTAGGGATGCGGGGCAAGCTGCCCCAGCCCCAGCAGGTCCGCGGCCGCCTTGAACCTCATCCTGAACTCCGTCGCGCCGAAGTCCCACAGCGAGGCGTCGGCGTGCGTCGCCGCCTGGAGCCCGGCCAGCGCTGGCAGGATCCAGCTGTCCTGGTCGATGAGCACCGCGTCGTCCGAGGTGCCGGTCTTGGACGGCTGGCCGAGCTCGAAGTCGTGGAGAAGCAGCCCCCAGCTCGCGTAGCTCGCGCCTGCCGCCGACACCGGGGCGACCAGGTGCCTGCCCAGCAGTGCAATCCCCTCCAGCGGCCTGAGGTAGCAGATGAAGGTCAGCATGGTGTAGATGGCCATTCGGCGCTGGCCGAGGAATAGCATCACCCCGGCGATCGCCGCCGCGCCAGTCTTCGGCATCGGCAGCCTCGAGCGCCCGGGTGCCCGACGCTTCCAGGCCCCGGCAGCGCGGCAAGCGCGCGGCAGGCACAGCCCGCTGCGCCGAGCCAGCCTCGGGTAGACGTGCGCCAGCGCCGCGATCAGCTGCGTCCCCAGGTCCGAGCACTTGCCGTCCAGGAACTGATGGTTCAGCAGCGCGGTGACCGCATTGTCCAGCGTCTCCCAGCTGTCCCAGTCCAGGTGGCACGTCCGGCAGAAGAGGACCAGCGTCGCCAGGCGGTCCTGGCACTGCCTCTGCGTGTTCGGGCGGATCGCTGCGGACTCGAGGACCGAGAGGCCGAAGGTCTGCACCGTGGAGGCGGCCACCTGCTGGGCGTTCCTCGCCCGCTCGACGGCGGCCTGCGCCGCCGCTGGCCGCCGGCGCCCAGCCATGCGGCCGGGCAAGGTGCACGTGATATGGAGTAGTGAAAAAACCGTGATCGCCTCGAGACGGATTGTCAGCAGGATTGAGTTCAGATGGGACCCACCGCACAACTATCCTGCACCCTGTAGTCAGTGAAAGAGCAGCTATCTTCTGAAGCACGTGTCGGAGGTATCGAGAGTTTGCCCGCCCCTTCGTGGCCGCTAGGGCCAGTGGTAGGTTGTCCACTATGAACAGGATCTTCTTCCCAAGAGCCCCAGTGTTTCTGAGCGTGTGACGAATAGCCATTAGGAGCGCCTCCCCCTCGAGCTCTAGGATGTCCGTGGACCCAGCGACCTTCGAGGCATGAACGACTTTCCAGGTGTCTGACTTCAGGAAACCCATGGGGACCTCGTCGAAGACCACGGGGTTGTCGACCAGCAGGTTCTCAAGGGCCTTGTCGGGGTCATTGATGGAGTCCACAGGAGCCTGACGAAGGGCATGTTCGCGAGCCCGCTGGGCCCCGTCAACCCGAAAGCGCCATCTCTCACTGCATCGGCCAATAGAGGATACCAGCTGGATGGGAGCTCTTCGGACAGTGACTCCAAGACCAAACAACGAAGCATCTGACGCGGCTACCTCTGGCCACCACTCGGCGCTGAGGTCAACGCTGAGCAACGGTAAGATACAGCGAGCTCGCCAGAGCTCGCGCCGCACTGATCTCCACAGTCGGGCCTGTCGCTGCCCGATCCGCTCTGCAAACTGGTAGCATGAGTTGAGCAAAGAGAGGACTTCACGGCGAATCAACCCAGCCCAGGTAAAGTGACCGATGATGATTCTGAGAGCGTCTCCCGAACAGAACCCCTTCCTGAGCAGGGCGTCGATCCCAAAACGAAGCCTCCAAATGCTCCTGGCCTTAATCGAAAGATCACGTCCTCTCTTCAGCTCTAAGCCTACGAAGGTGGCATCGCGGGCGGCCGGCTCCTCATCGTGCGTGAGCAGCCCCTTATCCGTCAGCACGCGCGTGACGGCGAGGGCGGCCCGGTCGACGATGGCCGGTGAGCGACCCAGGGCAGCGTAGTTGTCGACGTAGCCGGCGACCGCCAGGGCGCCCTCCTCGTCGACCACGACCCCGGCCTTCCCGTCCTCGATGCACTGGCCCTCTGTGAACCCCGCGGAGTCCAGGGCCCGCCGCAGCACGCCCTGACAGAGGGCCAGCGCGTGGCTCCAGCCCATCGGCAGCACGCAGACGCAAGGCTGCACCCGCGCCCCTCGCGCGAGCCGCGCCCCGCCCAGGTGCGTGATCCCGAGCAGGCTGGCGTCCAGGGCGGGCAGCCTGAAGTAGGACGACAGGCCGTCGGGCAGCCGCAACCTGTAAAAGGCATTATCGATGTCGCCCGAGGCAAGGTAGGTGTCGTGCCCTGGGTTCTCGAAAGCCGCAAGCGCCGTAGCCGTCGGCAAAGCGGTCCGAGCTGGTCGCCCGAAAAATAAATTTGCATACCTCGTATCAAATATCACTCTCAACTTGTTGTTCTTCTTCGCGACGAAGAAGCAGCCCACGGTGGCCGCGTCACAGTCCTCCCTCAGCTCCACCATGCCGCGGGCCAGCAACTTGGCGACAAAATCGGCGTAAAGCAGAGGCTTACTGAAGAGACTGGGATCAAAAAAAGGTCCGTGCGGGCAGAACTCAGCACGTTCTGCGGATGTAGGTTGATCTGGCCTGAGCAAGGTGCTTTGCCAGCGGCCCAGCCACTCAGACTCGGCCTCACCCAGGCAAGCGCACAGCGGGACGGGCTGCACGTCGGGCGAGGGCCAGGAAATGGACTCCTTGACATACGGCCGTCGGGAGGAGAGATCACCCGTCTGGTAGATCCCCGTCCCCGCGAGGAGCTCACGGAGGGCTCCCTCGCGGAAGCCTGCCTCTGGTGGGGGCTTGCCCAGCGCGCGCACTCGCGACTCGACATGCTCCACTGCGTGTCGCTGACCAGCGTTGGCGGGGACCGCCGGCCGATCCTGGTGGCCGTACAAGTCGTTCAGGGCGTCGATGCAGTCGTCGCCCCAATCGAGGATGTGCTTGGCAGCCTCCCCACGCCGCCTGGTGACCCGGGACAGGTCCTGGCGGCCCGCCGCGCCGACGTGATCTCGGCACAGCGGGGGCAGCGGAAAAATGTCGCGCTGGCGGGCACTCTGCCACAGCATGTCAAAAACCTCTCTGTTCGGCGGACCGGTAGAGGCACCACGGTCCACAGGCGTCTCAGTCAGGGGGCCGCGCCAGCCGCCTGGAACCGGCGCGGCCGAGGGGAACATCACCCCTCCTCATCCTTCTTGTTCTTCTTGTTGTTCCCTTTCTTGGCAAGCTCCCTCTCCTCCCGGGCCTTGCGCCGCTCCTTGAGCAGCGCCTGCTCCTTGGCCAGCTGGGCGCTGGCCCACTCCTGGAGGAGAGGGCACACACACACTCCTCCTCTGTCAGCTCGCTGCCCATGTACAGGTGCGTGTCGACGCTATCTGGGCCGCCGCCTCCTGAGCCGCCAGCGCTCCTGTCGCGGTACCTCTCCTGCTGCACCTGGATGTTCCGCACCAGCAGCTCCACGGCCGCCAGATTCGCACCATTACACTGGTCGTAGCAGATGAGCTCCTCCAGCGCCCGGCACGAGCGCTCATGCTCCTGCACCCCGGGCTCGTGCTCCTGGAGGCGGGCCTCACTGCGCCACCGAGAGTGCATCCCGGTCGGCGTCCCGCCGTGCTCGATGATGTACCGCAGGACCCAGAGCGCGGTGCGAGGTCCGCGCACGGGCCACCCCGCCCACTGGTCCTCCCGGCAGGCCAGCACCGCCTCGCGGAACTCCCGCCGACGGTTGCCCATGGCGTCGTACACCACAAGGAGCACCCTCGCGTCCTGGACGTGGCCACCAGCGCCCACAGCACCCGCGGGCGCGCCTCCCGCAGCAGCGGGCGGGCCCGCGGCGGCTGCGGCGGCGCCCGCGTCCGCGGGCACAGGGGCGGCGGCCGCCCCTGGGGCGCCGGCGGCAGCGGCGGCGAGCACTCCGTCGGCTCCTGGAGCCGCGGCCGCCGCGGCGCCGGCCGCAGCGGGGGCGGGCAGCGGGCCTGGAACCAGCACGCCGGCTGGTGCTCCTGCCGCTGGGCCACCGAGCGCCGCCACCAGGCCGCCGAGCCCCGCCGCCGGGGCCACTCCGCCCGGCGCAGCTGCAGCGGCCGCCGCCGGCGCGCCCGGTGCTCCGCCAAGCGGGGCAGCGGCGCCCCCGGCTTCGAGCGCGCCGGGCGCGGCCCCCCCCGCCGGCGGCCCGACGAGGCGCCCGCCGAGGGCCGGCACCAAGGGCCCGCCCGGCGCAGGCTGGCCCAGGCGTCCAGCAGCAGCCACAGCGGACGCCGTGAGGCTCGCAGCAGTCGGCATCGCACCAGCTCTGAACCGATAGTATCGCGCTCCCGGCCGACCCATCAGCACGCCACCCGGCTGCCGATTCGGCAGCGGCTCCCACTCGATGATGTCGGGTAGGCCCCACACCTCCTCGTACTCGTCGCCGTCGGGCGTGGTGATGGACACGGTCAGTCCGGCACCCAGCGGCAGGTAGTGGACCAGCCGCTCGTGGTACAGGGCCCCACCTGGAACGTTGTAGCGCACAACACAGAAGTCGCCCACCTGCAGGTCGTGAGACGCGGTGAGCGGGTGCTGGCCAGCAGCTGCCAGCATCATTGTGCCAAAGCCTTGGCCTTGTACTGAGCTACCTGGGCCCGAGCAGTGGCGTCCAGGTCGTCGGCGTACCGCACGGTCTTAGCTCCCAAGCGCGTCAGCCGGCCCGCGAAGAAGGCAAGCAGGGCGATGCAGGCGCAGATGACCGCAACCGTGAGCGGCGTCACTGGCGAGATGTGGGCAACGTCACCGGTCGTGCAGGTCAGCGGCGGACACTTCAAGACTGGCGAGCACTCACACGCCGGGCAAGTCGGCCGCCCAGCCCACACGACGAGGCCAGTCGAGGCCCCCTCAGCGATCCGTCCGACAAGCTGGCGAATGGCGGCTTGCATCACAAGAATGTGGGGGCGCCCTGACTCAGAGCTTGAGCACAAGTGGCAGTGGCCATACGGCGATGCTCAACTACAGTGCCTGCTTCCCGTACTGAATACACCCATCATCATCACCATCATCATCATCATCATCATCATCATCATCATCATCATCATCATCATCGTCGTCATCATAAGCGTCAGCATCATCATTGTCATCATCATGAGCAGTATCATCATCGGCATCATCATCGTCCTCCTCATCATCATCAGCATCATCATCATAATCAGCATCATCAGCAGCAGCAGCATCATCATCCTCCTGGCGTCATCACCGTTCCTCCTCCTCCTCCTCCTCCTCCTCCTCCTCTTCCTCCTCCTCCCCCAGCCCCTCCTTCTCTTCCTCCTCCTCCTCCTCCTCCTCCACCTCCTCCTCCTCCTCCTCCTCCTTCTCCTCATCCTCATCATCCTTCTCCTGGCCTCCTCATCCTCATCCTCATCCCCGTCCTCGTCCTCGTCGTCGTCCGCTCTGATCCACGTCCTCGTCGTCGTCCCCGTCGTCGTCGTCGCCGTCGTCGTCGTCGTCGCCCTCGCCGCCGTCCCCGTTCTCGCTTTTGTCGTCTTCCTCCTGCTTTTCCCCCTCATGCTCCTGCTCCTCGCTCTTGTCATCGTCCTCGTCCTCGTCCTCCTCCTCCGACTGTTATTATCAGAGTTAGTAGTGCGCGTATAAGTAATAATAGTATTGCTGTTATTAGTTATTACTTCTATGACTACTAATATTTGTGCTAGTAAGATTAGTAGTATATCTGTGCTTAATACTACCGCTATTACTAGTATATGTGATTGGTGCTAGTGTATCATTATTGATATTCGTATTGTTATCATTAAGACTACTAATACTGTCGTTATTCCTATCATTGTTATTATTCCTCCTCCTCCTCCGCCTTCTCCTCCTCCTCCTCACCCCCCCTGTCCTCCTCCTCCTCCTCCTCCCTCCTCCTCCTCCTCCTCCTCCTCCTCCTCCTCCTCCTCCTCCTCCTCCTCCTCCTCCTCCTCCTCTCCTCCTCCTCCTCCCCCTCTCCTCGTCCCCCTCCTTTTCAGTGTCACCATCCGCCCCACCCCTCCAACGCGCCCTCGTTCTCGCCCTCCCCAACATCTGACGCAGCTGCAGCACGGCACCTGGAGCACAGCGCCGGGAATCGACGGGAGCATGCCCGCAGCGGGACGGGGCGTGCCCTGGCTGCTGCGGCGCGGCCAGCTGGCAAACCGGATGCACAGGGGAGGCACGCGGAGGGCTGACTTGCCGACGCCGGACTGGGTGGAGGAGGGAGCCCCTGGCCCTTCCCTCGATTCCCTCGGTCCTCCCCTTTACCACAAACCTCTCCCCCTATCGCCGCCCTCTCGTCCTTCGACTCCTCCCTCCTGCTTCAATGCGTGCACGGTTGGGGTCGCGTAGCACGGCGGTGTCTGTGGTGTCTGTGGTGGCTGCAGTGCCTGCGGTGTGTGCGGTGCTGGTGGTGTCCTGGGGTGTCTGTGGTGCCTGCGGTGCCTGCGGCCTGTGGTGCCTGAGGGTGCTGGAGGGTGCCTGTGGTGCCCTGGGGCGCCTGCGGTGCATGCGGTGCATGCGGTGCCAGTGGTTTCCTGGGGTGCCTGCGGTGCCTGCGGTGCCTGTGGTGCCTGCGGTGCATGCGGTGCCTGAGCGTGCCTGAGGGTGCCTGAGGGTGCCCATGGTGTCCCGGGGTGTCTACGATGCCCTTCAATTCCTCTGCGAGTGCTTCGCCAATAAAACACCCCGCCGGAAGACAGAAAATCAAGAACTCGAAATCTCAGTACATCAACAATACTTATGTTCCACATGCGGCCAATGTGACAGAGGCGAACCAAAAACGCGAACACCGCCACTGGGGCCTTCGGTGGCCCCCACTATGGAGCCACGAAACGTGTGAGCGGTGTGCCGAAATGGGTGGCGAGGACGCATGCGAACACCGCCTATGGGGCCTTCGGTGGAACTCCCTATAGAGTGACGAAACGTGTGAAGGGTGTTCACTGAAAGTGGTGGCGGGGACGCATGCGAACACCGTCATTGGGGCCTTCGGTGGAGCTCCATAAAGGGCAACGAAGCGTGTGAGGGGGGTACCGGAAGGGGTCGCGGGGACGCGTGTGGACATCGCCATTGGGGCCTTCGGTAGACCTCCCTAGTGAGCCACGAAACGTGAGAGAGGTGTGCCGTAACGGGTGGCGGGACGCATGTAGAGCCACGAAACGTGTGAGGGATGTGCCGAATGGGTGGCGGAGACGCATGTGGACACCGACACTGGGGCCTTCGATGGAGCTCCATATGGGGGACGAGACATGTGAGGGGTGTGCCGAAAAGAGCGGCGGGGGCGCATGTGGACACCGCCACTGGGGCCTTCGAAAGAGCTCCTTATGGAGCAACGAGACGTGTGAGGGGTGTGCCGAAATGGATGGCGGGGACGCGTGTGGACACCGCCAAAGGGGCCTTCCGAGGAGCTCCTTATGGAGCCACGAGGCGTGTGAGGGGTGTGCCGAAATTTGCGCAGCGGGTGGGTGTGCCAATGCGAAAGGGAAGAGAGGGGGAGGGGGATGAGGAGGTGTGAGACGCGAGGCGCTGTCTCTTCAAAACCAGGACCCAACAGCACAGGATGGTTGGGAAAAAGGCCTGGCACACTAGTTGCACGACGAAGTATATTATGTTCGGAGCTTTGCCGTTTCCACGAATGCGCATCTCAAATTGGAGCGGCTTCAAAGCATTTTGATGAAGATGAAAACATGTCGCAACAGCTCGCAAGGCACACACTTCCAAGTCCGCGCCAGCCGTGCATTACTGGGAAACGTTTGATGTTGAAGTGAGCACTACTCGACTGAACTAGAGCTCCGATGGCCAGTCCAAGGCATGTTCGTCTGTCACCTGGTCTGCAGCGCCATGACTACGCCGAACTGGCGGGGGCCCCCGGCGAAGGGCTCACGCGCGCGCAAACCGAAGGTTGTCCAGCAGCAGCGCGTGCCCCGCCTGCCAGCACACCTTGGCGCTGCGTTCCGCCAACGCGTGCTCCACGGCGGCGTCTTCCGCTTCCAAACTGGGCGCGCCGCCGCCCCAGTTCCACACGACTGGCCGCTCTGCTGGCGGCACGTGCCCCAGCGCGCCCTCCGTCCAGCGCCCGTTCAGCACCCCCATCCCGGTGAAGAAAAGTTCTTAATCCTTCCCAGCCCGCCCTTCCGGGTCGACAACGTACGCAAGGAGCGCCTGCCCCGCGTCGAGGCTACCGTCCAGCTGGAAGCGGCAGTGCCGCTTGGATACGCTGCAGGTATCCAAGACACTCGCCTCGTCCTCCACCCCGATGCTTGCCTGCCAGCACTGGCCGCCCGGTTCCAAGACTTGCACCGATAAGACCGAAGCGCCCTGCTTCCGATTGGCGCAGCGGACGTGGTTGCGCATGCCTTACTTCTGGAACTGGGCGCGCATCTCGGCTGGCAAAAAAGCTCCCACGTCCGCGTTACGAACGACCAAAGTCGGCCCGCCCGCGGTGACTTCCCACAGGAGACAGGCAAACCCAATGAAGCGAGGGAACTGGTCAGAGTAGCTCATTTTGTAGTGGAAACGGATGAAGTTCTCCGCTGGCTCGGTTCCCGTGGATAGGACTTCTGGCGCTGCTCATTCCAAGGACCTCCGCTCGTTGTAGACGCTGCGGTAGTCCATCAGGCTGCGGAATCCGGCCGACGCCCATGCCTCAAAGTCACGCGGCGCGGTGAAGTTCGCACCCGGGATGTAGGGAATTCCCTCTTCTTGGGGCTGGCGCCGCACGTCGCTAGCGGGAGGCAAACAGTGCATGTGTAGCGGCTCCAGGCAGCGGTCGCGCCCCGGCGTTGGCTTGCCCGAACCAACGGTGGCCCAGGCAAATCTGCTCCGCAGGAAGTCCCACCAGCCCTCTGGGCGCAGGTGGTCTACAGCGCTTCCTTTTCCAACCTCCTTCCTCTCCCTGCTCGGGAGGTTTACCTCCCCCCTCCCTGGGTCTGGAAGAGGGGGGGGGGGGCCGAGGAGTTAGAGCGTCAAAGATGGCCAAAATAGCTCGAAGAGGGTTTTAGATAGCCCAAGATAGCCTCCATGATGGCCCAAGATACTCCGAGATGGCTCAAGATAGCCTCCGACACGCATCCAAGAGGCCCCAAGACGGCCCCAAGATGGTTTCAAGTGCCCTCCGAGCCCTCCGAGGACCCCCCCAAGAGGCCAAAATGAGTCCAAAACCTAAGGAGAAACAATGTGTTGTGCCTTCTCTTCGTTTCGCTTCCCATGGGCTCTTGAGGCGTCAAGGTGGCCCCAAGATGGCCCAACATAGCCCCAGGAGAAGCCCAACAGGGCCCCAACACGGCCCCAAGAGCGCCCAAGAGCGCCCCAAGAGCGGCCCAAGAGGGCCCCAAGCCCTTTGGGCCTCCGAGGGGGGACCTAAATTTAAGACCCCCTTCTTTTTGAGCGGAGGGGTCTAAGACGGCCCCAAGAGGCCTCCCAGACCCCAGCAAAGAGCCCCACAAGAGGGCGCCAAGACCCCTCAAGAGAGCCCCAAGAAGGTCCCAAAAAGGCCCCCAGAGAGGACCCCAAGAGGACCCCAAGATGGCGCCCCAGTGGCATTACGAGTCTTCGAAGAACCCCTCACCACGACATGTGCCCAAAGCCCGATGTCTCGTCCTCTTGGTCATCGTCCGTTCCTTCCTTGCTTCTTTCCTGCCGCCTCCCTGGTCCTGTTCATCCTCTTCACGCCGCGTTCCTCCTGCTCCTCCTCCCTCCTCCTGTTCTGTTTGTCCTCCTCCTCCTCCTCCTCCTCCTTTTCCTGCTCCTCCTCCTCCTCCACCTCCTCTAGAAGTATTATTATATGGATTAGTCTTATTAGTATTATCAGTATTATGATTCGGTTGCTTCGTGATGTGTTTCTTATGTTACTCATTATTAGTAGTAATAATAATAATATTCGTACTAGGATTGAACT